GCGTAAAGCCAGATTTGCAGCTGCAGCTTGTATTTGTAGTAGCAAAGTGCGGTGCTGACGGCCAGCAGGATGAGGGCCGAAAGCACAGTGAAGGCTAACACAAATGTCAAGCTCACGCCTAGATCGGGTAGACAGAAGTCGCGGTAGGTTAGTTCAACGAGCGGCGGCATCTGCGGATCGTCGCAACGCACTTCAAGCATGTCGCGGTAACGCAAGCGATTGTGCTTTACGAAGCCATGCAGCAACGCGGCGCTGCAGTCACACTTCCATGGATTATGCGAGAGATACAAGTCTTTCAGCGACGTGCTGTCGTTTAGCGTGCGGATTAGCTGCGCGGGCAAGCGCGCTATGCTATTGTATCGTACATCAAGCAAACGCAGGCGGCTTGTGGTGTGGTTGGGCGCGCTCAGCTGTGCGCATAAGGTATGTAGCGTGTTGTTCTGCAGTTGAAGCGTGTTGAGGCTGCGCAGACCCGCGAGCACATCACACGCCTCAGCGCTTGTCCAATTTAGCTGATTGTTATAGAGCATAAGTATCTCCAGCCGCTGCGCTTGCGCCAGACTGCCGGGGGCGATTGCGCGCAAGCCATTGTTATCCAAATTAAGTTCTACCAGCGCGTGTAGTGTAGGAAGTGTATGCGCGCTGAGCTGCAGCAAACGATTGTGTGACAAAGCCAAGCTCACTAGCTTTGTGGACGGGTGAAATAAGCCAGGTGGCAGCGATTCGAGCTCATTGCGACTCAGGTCCAACACCTGTAGGCGTTTTTGGGCCACGAAAAGCGCAGTAGGAAGCTCACGCACTTGGTTTGAGGTTAGGCGCAGCCGCTTTAGTGCTGGCAGTGGCTCAAAAATCCGCGCTGGCAGCTCGGAAATACTGCAGCTATGTAGCGTAAGAATCTCGAGAAGGCCAAGCCCCTCAAAATCATCTTTGCGTAAGCGATCCGTCAGCTGATGACGCATCATGGTGAGCGAGTTGAGGGACGCGAGTGGCGCTAGCGCTGCGCGTGGAAATTCCAGCAGTCCGCCATATATCATCAAGTCAATTAAATTGGCACCCAGTGGGCGAAAAATGCCCGGCGGCAAATGCGTGAAGTTCAAGTCGAGTTTCAGGCTCCAAAGTGACGTAAAAGCAGTAAACAAATCAGCGTCTAACTGCTGGGCAGCGGCCAATGTGCGCTGCTGCGGCTGCGCCAGCAACTCCAAATCACTTATCGTCTGCAAAAAGCTAAGGTTATGTCCGAAATGTCGTGCGGCTAGTAAAGGCAACATTCCAAGACCATGTACATGCAAAATGCTGCCGTGCGTCAACTGCATGTGTGCCAACAACTCGGTGAAGGGCACACAGTGGTGAACGCCAAGAAAGAGTGACTTACGCATCCCTCCAAGTAGCGGTACGCGCGCCAGCAGCTCCGCGGATACAGTCGGGTACGTATCCACGGCTGGTGTGCAAAATATCTCCACATCGGTCTTCTCGTAAATTGAAATTTGTATGTGCGTGCCACCGTCCGCACTGCTGCAGCCGATAGAGGCTGAATCATATTTGCTGCTGTAAGTGCAGTTGCAGGTGCTATTCTCAGCAATCCCGGCGCAAACGTCGCTGGTGAAATCCCGTTCGTTGTTATCAGCAGCCTGGCAAGACAGCCAGTGGCATGTGAGCAGCAATAATAAAGCCGAGAGACCAATTACAGCTTCTTGCAGAGTAGTGGCGTTTTGTGGTTGGCGCATTTTTGCGCCGCTAGTATACTCGTTCAAAGCGCGCGAGTCGCTGGCGATAGACTGAATGTGAACTTTTTGCATGCATCGTTGAATTCGTTAATTTGCGTGCACAAGCATTTTATATTATAATGAAAGCATTCAATTGATATAAAGTTTAACACGAGTAATTGGAGGTGTTGACGTCGCGAGTGGAGCGTGTCTTACTCGTGTATATGCAAATTAAATATGAAAAATTCTCTGTAATTACTAGTTGTCAGTGCAGCGTTATCGCGCATCTTATTTCGAATGACATTTTACGCCTCTCACTGTGTTGCTGTCACAGCGTGGCACAACTTAATTACGCTCGCCTCATCAACGTTTGCAAGGGAATGTTATCAACGCGCCGACTTACGCGCTTCTCGCTTTCCCACCCACAGCGTGAATGTGGCATAGCATCGTCCCATTTCAGATAGGTGTTCATCTTCAAATATGCGCGCAGCTCCTGATCCAGCAGGTCTGTGTTCGTCAATTCGCCATATATCCCCAGTATGATACGCGTGCGTCCCTCATTGAGCGCTCGCTGATGCGCCATACGGATGCGATAGAACGATGATCGTACGGCGCGATTGCTCCACAGAGTCGATAATTTTTTCAGATAGGATCGCGCCCACCACCCAGTCGCGCACGTGTATGCACACCTTGAAAGGTGGTGTGCCCTGTTCCAGCCCAGGCAAAAGCTCATGCTCGACGAAGTGCTCATCTTGGTGAGTGTAAGAGATGAAAGCGTCGTACCAGCGTGTCGTATCGGGATCCAATTCAGCCTCGCTGATGCAACGCAGACACGCGGCGTGCGCGTGCAGCCAAATTTTTAGCTGCGGTTTATACTTATAGTAGCAGAGTGCGATGGAGACCACCAGCAAGGAAGGCGCTGACACAATAACAAAACTAAAAACCAGCGTCGAATTGACGCCTAAATCAGGCAGACAGAAGTCGCGTTAAGCGAGCTCAACCAACGGCACCAGCTGGGGCTCATTGCACTTTACATATATCACTTCGGGAAAGCGTACGCGATTGCTACGCAAAAACGCGTGCAACGCCTGAGCCTCACAGTCGCACTCACTCAAGCACACCACATGATTCAGCGCGCGTCCAATCATGTTTGTTATGACTTAATACCAAATCGCGCAGGTGGCGTGCATACGCAAACGTGCCTGCTTCAATGACGCGCAACTCATTCGAATCCACATAGAGCTCCACAAGTGCATTTTGCGGTGGAAAAAGATCTGCGCTTAGGCGACGCAATCGATTATATGTCAAATAAAGCTTTTTCAACGCAGTTGTCGACACGAAGAGCCCTGCCGGCAACGCCTCCAGCTGATTGTCACTGAGGTCCAATAACTGTAGGTGTCGCTGTTGCGCCAATAGCGTAGCAGGTATCAAGCGCAGCTTGTTTCCGACTATATTGAGATGCTTTAATACGGTTAGCGGTTGGAAAATCCGCGCAGGCAATGCCGTAATGCCACAACCGCGTACCGTTAGTTCGGTAAGAGTGGAGAGGGCATCAAAATCGTCCGCGCGCAGATGCGCATTAACTTGATGGCCCGACATAAACAGTTGCGTCAAATTTCGTAATGTGCTGAGTGCAACGCGCGGAAACTCACGCAGCCGTCCTAACAAAAATAGCTCCCTTAGCGTGTACGCACACGGTGGGCAGGAAGCAAAGATAGGTTGCATAAAAATGTCGACAAAAACTGAAAGCAGGGTTGTATTTGTTGATATTTTTAGGTTAAGAATCCCTTTGAATTGAAATCCTAGCTGCTCCTGTTTTAAAGATATCAACATTTTACATAGTTATGATAGGACCGACTTTTGCGAAAGAGAAAAACATCCTTGTGCATTAAATATTCAACAATGTATGTGTGAGTAAATGTGTGTATATATATTATGTGAAAATATAAGTTTATGTAAGTTTTTAGCCGGTTTCAATCGTTTCCAAGGCGCACCACGTAGAGGCAACTTACTTTGCACCTCTTTTTTGGTTTTATTTTTTTTTAATTTTTTTCTTGCTTTATTTTTTTATATTTGTTTTTTGTTTCCTTTTATTTTTTTTGTTGGCTTACCATATAATATAGTCACACATTTTAGTAGTTAAATATTTTATTATTTAGTTAAGTTTTTATTTATGCTGGAATGAAAATGTCATTACAGTTTTCTTCAGGCGACTCACAAAAGTTGGTTTATCAATCATATTTATTTTGAATCTATCCCAGAATTTAATGAATTCCCTATGAACTGACTTCCCGGCCTGCTCGGACCATAATCCTAAACCATCATTATTCAAGAATGAAATAGACTGCTTTAAATGTTTAAGGATAAAATGGATTTTGACAGTTTGAGAAATTCCAGTACTTTTCAAAGCTGTGCGGAGTTCGTTAAGATTTTTATCAAAATTACTAAGATCCGCTTGTTTTGCGGAAAACCATGTATTCACGATTTTGCTCATGGCTTTGAACGAGGCAATATATTTGGTATTGTTTTTACTGAGAGTTTCTTCCATAGAAACTATGTTCGACATTTTTTTGTATGTGGAAGACACTGTCAGCAAAAAATAAATAATTGCAAAAAATCAACGAAATTTTCTGGTAACTTCAGACTTACACTTTACTAATTGGCTCAAAAGCTACATTTTAAACATTTTTCTAAAAGATCTGATTAGAAATTGTGATCAGATGAAAGTGTCTCCGAGCCAATAATTTTGTACGTCACGGTACTTATAAGTAATCTAGGTTTTACGAAAAAAAAAAATTAATACAAGGTAACATTAAAATATCAGTCATTTGTTTCGTTGCTGTGAGCTTGTTTCAAAACTTCTGGCTTTTGCTATAATTGTAAAACTCTGTGCATGTCATTTTAACGTATTTAGGTACATATTTATATTAATCATCAACTATTGCTTATGCAAAACGTGCTACATTTAAAAAAAAATCGCATATGAAAGAGCACCAACTCAACTCGTAATAATTTAAGTATACAAATTTTAGTATTTAGTATAGAAATATTCAATTGAGATACGCCAATATTAAAATGAAGCGCTTTGCACTTAACGGATGCTTTTTCATAATTAAGTTAAAAAAAAAATTATTTAAATTCCATGCTGTCTGTAATGGGATTTGAACCCTGACGCTCTGGAAATCAGCAAATTGTGGCAAGCATCTTCGTGCACTCAGCTACAGCCAGACATGTAAATGTGCATTCAAATGTTCAGTTTGATTCAACACCACGTGTGCGTGGTATGAAAGTATTGTTTTTAAGTACGAACATTTCAAAACGATAATCAAATAAAAAATATTCATGTTTACTATGCGTTATTTCCCCCAGTAAATTCATAAAATTTTTCTTAATATTACAACGCGTTTTTTCTCTCAGCGTAGTCATTTTTAAGCAAAATTTGTGCAATCAAATCGAAAACCGGGACACTTAAATGAAACCCGGGACATTTTAAGGTTGGACCGGGACACCGGGACAAATAGTCTAAAACCGGGACATGTCCGGGAAAACCGGGACGTCTGGCAGCCCTACACACAAAGCGCATACTTTCATGCGATTTTCTTTATGATCGCATTTGTGTTCTGGATGTACAACAGTTATTATTTCCTGACAGAAGAGTACATAAATACCAAAATAAATCTCATACAAGCTTTGAATTTATTTACTTATTATGAGGAGTACCGTTGGCCTAAGTTAGAGCATTTTTATATCTTGCACAAGCGCAGTGCGACTTGCCTGCGCTACTTGCTTATAGCAACAAACCTTTAATAAAAAATGACTACCGTATTATATAGCATACAATATTGTATACATACATACATATATTGCGATATTGAAAGTGTTTGTAATGAGAAAGTTCACGCTACAGAAAAAGGTAATTGTGGTGTTTTATCTAAGTTGTATACCGGTAGCGCCCAATAAATCTCGATCTATTATTCTTTCGGTAGGAAAAAATGAAAATGTTTCACATTGATTTGATCCGTTTTAGTGAGTTAAAAAAGGGGAACAGATTTGTATGAGATTTCTTTTCGTCTAAATATGCTCTAATTATCGAGAAGTACGCCTTCCTCTTTTGCAAATATATCCTATCAGAAGTATATAAAATGTGGATATCTTTAAAACAGGAGCAGCTAGGATTTCAATTTAAGCGGATTCTTAACCTTAAGATATCAACAAATACAACCCAGCTTTCAGATTTTGTCGACATTTTTATGCAACCTATCTTCTCTTCCTGCCCACCGTGCGCAACTGGCTGAAAAATGACAACTGGCAACTGTTTGAAATTCATAACGATTGTCAGTGAGCTCAGCTGGCTGAAGGCGCTTAAAATATCCTCCTCCAACTGCTGCTCTGCAGGCAAAGCGCTGGACGCAAGCTGTGCCACTAGCATCAAAGACTGCTCGTCATCCAAATGATGTAAACTCTGCGCTAATAACTCCAAGCTGTCTAGCCCTTGCAGTATACTCTCGTCGTTGCCGAAATGCCGCCGCTGTAGTAAGGGTATAAATTTCAAGCCGTGCACCTGCATGTTGTCGCTCCGCTGCAGCTCCAGTCGCTTCAAAATTTCGCTAAACGGCAAGCAGGGGCGCACGTTGAGAAAGTCGACCTCGTGCATGCCGCCTAAGCGCGGTAAGCGCGCGAGCAGTGCTGCAGGTATGCATGGATGTGTGACATTGCAACCTACACCAATTCGACCCTGGCAACTGATCTCGACATTCTTTTCATCGAGTACTGTTATCCGTATGTGTGCGGTTTCATCGCTGACGCTGCAGTAAATCACTATCGGTTCGTAGGCGTTGTAGGTGCAATTGCAGGTGCCGTTAGCGACGATGGCCGCGCAATCATCTTCGCTGAAACTTTTTTCCTCGCAAAACGTACTCCAGTTCAGCAGCAATAAAATGATTAGGAATATAAAACCAGCGCTGCATTGAAGTTGGGCAAGCTTTTCGCCTGACATTTTCGCACTGTCCTTATATGTACAAATAAACTGTCGCACCGTGTGCCTCACTTTGTTCAACTGCGCTCGTTTGAATTTGCTTGCACTACCTCCATTAGCCGGTATCGTGCGTTCCGTGAGGTGCGCTCACTTTAAATATTAACCAATAAACAATAACGGCATTGAATTAAAGAACAATTTGTTTGTAAATGGCAATGCTATTTAGCAATCCAATCGAAGGGTTCTCGGTACAGATGTGCTGCCAACAATGGGCGATTAGATTGAATATAACTTTTTATAGTATACCAATAGCATGAAATTCCACGAAGTCTTCCACGCATGCATGATTTTAGTCTTGGGTGAACTAATCAGTCGTCACAGCGTTGGAGTTTCCTCGCTGATTCCTGGTATTTCTTGCGCTTTGGGATTCAGTCTAAGCTTAGGAAATTGTACGCCGATAAATCAAGCGTTCATTCTGGAATCATCTTGTTGAATGAGTGGAAAATACTGTGATCTCGTAAACTGGCAGCAAACTGGGAAATACTTACGTAACTGAGCTTCGTCCTCAATTTGTACTGGCCGTCTGTTTGCTTTCTGTAAAAGTTTTTGCATGGACCGATCATCGAATCTAATTCGCTTATGTTTGCGACTCATAGATCCGAACGCCGCCCAATTGTTGCCGTTTCTAGGCATAGAAGTTAAGCGTATCTCCCCTGTCTTTTATTGTTTATATTTCTACTATTTTCGCCAACGTGCTCAAACGCATCCATACTTTCTTCCTCAGCCTGCGTATTTACTTATCATCACATTTTCTTGCTAAAATTTTAGCTGCCTCCATCTTCAAAGCTCAAAATGGCTCAGTTCATATCCCCAAAGCTGTAGCTTTACCAGCATAAAGAGCAGCTTTTACCGCCTTCGGTTCACTTTGGGAAAGAAAACCCATGAAATTGTATATGTCCTGGTCTTCACTCAACGTTAGCTGGACTGAAATGACGCTCATCTTTCCAAAAGTAACCAACAGTTGGTTCGTTACGCTCACGCCCAAGCGCCATTTCTCGTCAACTTATTACTCTACCTCACTCATTTTTAGCGCCCCATCTATGAGCCTAGGGCCCTCATTGTCAATTAACTTATTTATGTGCAAATATTTCCATGAGAGCTTCTGCTTCCCTCCGACGGCTCGGAGTTACCAGCTTTGGCATCACCTTACAAAACTCAAAGGAGTGCCATCTCGGTAGGTAGCATTATCTGTACTTGCTGGTAAAGTTCTGCGTCGAGAGGATATGGTATGGTCTGCTAAGCGTGAGGTGGTCTGGTGAGAGGTCATTTTTGCAGGTATATCTCCGCTTTTTGCCATCTTTGTCGCTTGGAACCGGCCCGATATTCTTCCACGCTGCCATAATTCTTAGAAATCCGATCGGCAACTTGACCATCGTTGTGCTCCAAAATTTGTTCGGCCATCCTGCGACCTGTATGCGTCCTCAAAGTCCCCATCAGGTAAGGCGAGAGACCTTTACCAGTACTGGAAATTTCATGCGATTTCGCGATTATGGCTGTAGCTCGCCCATTTCCAAGTGGAATACGGACTCCAACAACCTCTAAAACAAAGTTTAAAGGCTCTTCTGGCCAGTGACAGTCCTTGGTCAGAAATAAATCTGAGTAGTTCGAGTTACGTAGGCCCGACTGTCATGGAAATAAAAGCAGTCAGGCAGTCCCCAGCAGAAGTATTTATGTTTGCCTTAGCTCCTTAGTATTTTAAGTTAACCTAGTTCATTAAGTTAGAGATCCGATCCCGTAAGATCCTTAATGTCTTCTCTGTACGCCTCTTATATCTTCAGATACGGGTATGGTGTTCATAGAGGGTCTCACTAACATAATAAAGAAAGTTTGTATGGATAAGTGCAGCAATTTACTATCAATAAAACATATATTCTAAATAAGCATTTTTACACAATTCCTCTCACAAAAATAAGACAATAACCTGCTGCAAACACCTCCACACAAAGCGCGTCCATTGTTCACGCCCTCAGCATAGCTGCATGCAGTGGAGTCTCATTAAAACGCTCTTTCCCGCCGCGTTCACTACGCTCCCAGCCGACTCGCGAATGCGGCATAGCATAGCGCAGCTTTTCCCAAAACCACGGCTCGCCCCACTTCAAGTACGTATTCATCTTCAGGTATGCGCGCAGCTCCTGATCCAGCAGATCTGTGTTCGTCAATTCGCCATATATCACCAGTATGATGCGCGTGCGTCCCTCATTGAGCGCGCGCTGATGCGCCATACGGAATTCCATGAGTGCCCACTCGGATTGTATGAAATGCTGCGATAGAACGATGATCGTACGGCGCGATTGCTCCACAGAGTCGATAATTTGTTCAGATATGAACGCACCCACCACCCAGTCGCGCACGTGTATGCACACCTTGAATGGTGGTGTGCTCTGTTCCAACCCAGGCAGAAGTTCATGCTCGACGAAGTGCTCATCTTGGTGAGTGTAAGAGATGAAGGCGTCATACCGGCGATCACGATCCAATTCAGTTTCGCTGATGCAACGCAGACACGCGCCGTGCGCGTATAGCCAAATTTTCAGCTGCAGTTTATACTTATAGTAGCACATTGCGACGGAGATCATCAGTAGACTAAGCGCCGATACGCTGATTAAAGTAAAAACCAGCGTCGCATTGACACCCAAATCAGGAAGGCAGAAGTCGCGGTAAGCTAGTTCGACCAGCGGCACTTGCTTTGGCTCATTACACTTTAGATTTTTCACTTCAGGAAAGCGTACGCGATTGCTACGCACAAACGCATGCAGCGCCTGAGCCTCACAGTTGCAAGCCCAAGGATTCTGCTCCAGTTTTATGGAGCGCAGCGTTTCACTCCTATTTAGCGCGTGCAAGAGTTGCGCGCTTAGATGAGTAAATTTATTTTGCCGCACATCAAGCAAGCGTAAGGAATTCGCGAGGGTGTAATTAGACGCGCCTAGTTCTTTGCATAGGTAGCGCACCGAATTGTTTTGCAAACCAAGCATTTCTAAGCGACGTACTCCCTCGAGTACAACACATGATTCAGCGCGCGTCCAGTCAAGTTTGTTGTGACTTAGTACCAAATCACGCAGGTGGCGCGCATACGCAAATGTGCCTACTTCAATGACGCGCAACTCATTCAAATCCACATAGAGCTCCACAAGTGCATTTTGCGGTGGAAAGAGATATGCGCTTAGGCGACGCAATCGATTATATGTCAAATAAAGCTTTTTCAGCGCAGTTGTCGACGCGAAGAGCCCAGCCGGCAACGCCTCCAGCTGATTGTCACTGAGGTCCAATAACTGTAGGTGTCGCTGTTGCGCCAGTAGTGTAGCGGGTAGCATGCGCAGCTTGTTTCCGACTAAATTGAGATGCTTTAATACCGGTAGTGGATGGAAAATACGCGCAGGCAACGCTATAATGCCACAACGGCGTAACGTTAGTTCTGTAAGTGTGGACAGCGTATCAAAATCGTCCGCGCGCAAACGCGACTCAAGTTGGTGGCCCGACATAGTCAACTGCTTCAAGTTTCGTAGCGCACTGAGTGCAACGCGCGGAAACTCTCGAAGACATCCTAGCAAAAACAGCTCACTTAGGGTGCGCGCCACTGGCCGAAAGATACCAACTGGCAACTGCTTGAAATCCGTATCGATTGTCAGTGAGCGTAGCTGGACGAAAGCGCCCAAAATATCTTCCTCTAATTGCTGCTCTTTAGGCAACGCGCTCGATGGTAATTGTGCGACCAGCGTCAATGATTGCTCGTCATGCAAATGATGTAAGCTCTGCGCTAATAACTCCAAGCTGTCTATTTCTTTCAGCATCGTCTGGTCCTTGCCGAAATGCCGCCGCTGTAGTAAGGGTATAAATTCCAAGCCATGCACCTGCAAGATGTCGCTCTGCCCCAACGACAACTGCTTCAAAATTTCACTGAAGGGAAAGCAGTATCGCACGCTAAGAAAGCCGACTTCGTGCAAGCGGCCTAAGGGCGGCAAGCGCGCGAGCAGCTCTGCGGGTATGCAGGGATGCGTGACATTGCAGCCCACGCCAATGCGACCCTGGCAACTGATCTCTACATTCTTTCCATCGAGTACTGTTATCCGTATGTGTGCCGTTTCATACTTGGCGCTGCATTGAATCACAACCGACTCGTAGGCGTTGTAGGTGCAATTGCAGGTGCTATTAGCGTCGATCGCCGCGCAATCGTCTTCCGTGAAACTTTTTTCCTCACAGAACGCGCTCCAGTTCAGCAAGAATAGAGTGACTAGGAAAATAAAACCAGTCCTCGATCGAGGTTCGCCAAGCTTTTTGGGCAGCATTTTCACACTGTCCTTTTATTGGCATATAAACTCTCTCACCGCGTGCCTCAATTCACTCGTTTGAATTTGGTCGGACCAGCCGGCATCGCGTGTTGCGTGTATGCGCTCACTTTAAGTATTAACCGATAAACAATAACGGCATTGAATTTAACAACAATTTGCTTGTAAATGGCAATGCTATTTAAAAATCTAATCAAAGGGCTGTGAACAGTGGGCGTTTAGATTGAATATAACTTTTTATAGTATACCAATAGCATGAAATACCTTGAAGTTTTCCATGAAAGCTTGACTTGCAAGTGTGGCATGCTGTTAAGCCCAAGCGTCTCAAAGCCCCCATCAGGTAATCGTCATCAGATTCCAACTATCTTGAGGAAGAGATTTAGGCACAGTAGTTTCTTCCCCCAGCTATCTACTATCTTTGCTGCTTTATCTCATCAGTGATTATCCGTAGCACCATATATTTGCTCTGTATGTATTACGACCGAGTACAAAAAGCCAACATAAAGTGTAAAAAATACACCCGGCAGGTGGTGCCGCTAGGTTAGTTGCCACTGCCACCTAGCAACTACAAGAAAAAATGTAGTAGCTGACGTAGGCGTATGGAAAGCTATTTATTTGCTTGACTGTGTAGCCGTTGAGCAAAGTAGGCAGGTGGCCCTTCACATTTTTTTGCTGGATTTTCGTTTGCAGGCAAATGCATTCGAGGTCAATGGCACTTAGAATTTTTTTGTTTCAACACAAATGAGCTCCCTCTCTTCTTCCAGTTTTTGCGTTCGTTGCTATTATTCGCTTGTTTGACGCATTGCATTGCGGCAGAAATGCTGAACTACATACACACGCTTATGGAAATTTTTTTTTTCTATGAAAAATTTAAGTGAGTGAAAGGCTTGTAAGGCGTTGGTTGTATGGTAATTTTGGCTTGGATGGGACTTCAAGGTGATTACAGTGAGTTTAAGCAATATTATTTTTAAACTGAAATTTTTCAAAAAAAAATTATAATTTAGAATATCGAGAATTCATAAATCAAATTAATGAAACAAATTTAAACTTAATTCCGGTGAAAATAGTGTTTCGAACATCTTTTATTCAAAACCTGAATTTTTGTGAAAAAAAATATAAAAATAAACATACGTAATAATCAAGACTGAATTAAATTTTAGTAACAATTAATATTTCACCCAAAATTTAACCAAAAACCGAAACTTGAGCAAAACCTTGGAATTTATTAAAAGAAATTTAAAAAATGTGAAAAAAAACAAAAATACACAAATATAAAAATAATAATAAAAATATTTAAACTAAATTATATTATGTTTTAAACTAAATTATATTATGTTTTAAAAACTTATTATTTTAATTGAAATTTTATCACAAAGTTGAAATTTAATCAAAAAATATTTAAAACAAAAACAAAGAAAATAAAAAAAGGGAAATTTAAAATTATGGAAATTAAATTCCTTTCAAAAATTAGTGTTCCACACAGCATTCAAAGAAAAGCTGAAATTTTTTCTAAAAGTATCCCAACTAGTGTAGAAAAAATTAAATTACATTAAATTAAACAGGCCAAAATAAAAATAAAGAAACTATTTAAAACACCCAAGTTAACATTTCACACAAAATTTAACCACTAAACTGAAGAAAAGAAAATTTAGAAATAAAAACAAACAATTAAAAAATTAAAACTAATAATTAAAAAAAAATATATTACAATTAAAAAAGATTCCGTTACAAAACGTTAATGTTTCACCTAAAATTTTGTCAAAAAGTTTATAATAAAAAAGAAAAAAATGATTTAAATTTACTCAAATTAATATTTCTTACAACATTTATGTATGTCCAGTTTCATCTTTTTATTTTGTTTCCTTTTTTTATCAAGTTCCAGGTGGTTGCTCAAATGTTATGTAGTATTTGGCTAACTGCCGGTTTCACCAGCAATTAAAGCGAAAAATACTTTTTTTATTTGAATTTAATATGAAAACTGACAAAAGGAAAAGAGTCATGTTTCACTTAAATTGCTGATGAAATCGGCAGTTTGCCAAGCACTTCTTAAACTTTGAGCAAAAAATTGGAATTTTATACAAAAATTAATATAAAAATATTTATTAAATTCAATATCTTTGTTTTTTGGCAAAAACTGTATTGGAGCTCAAGTCAATCTGATTTTATTAATACTAAAGAAAAAACTAAAAATAAATGGCTTGGAGCTAAACATAAATTTTGACAAAGCTATTTCAATTATTCCTAAAAGTTTTATGTTTGAACACAAAAAGTTTCAAACACAGTTTAACCAAAAACTGAAATTTGATCGAACAGATTGGAATTTATTGCAGTTTTCTTTGACCAAAAATATTACAATGCTGGCAAATAATGTAGGTTTTATGTCAAAATTTACGCTTTTTTTACTGGTTTTATACTTTTTGTGCAACTTATGCAACACTAAAAGCTTTATAACAGCAAATAATTCTAAAACTATCAGCTTACACAAACTCTGAATTGTACCAAAAAACTTAACCTAAAAACTGAAATTTTATGATATTATTAAAATTTAATCATGTTTTGTTTTCTTTTTTTTTTAATTAGAAAAAAATTTAATAATTCAATAAAATTTTTTATTGAACTATTTAAATTACTCTTAAAAAACTTACGTTTTCACAAAAATTTAACAAAAGCTGAAATTTAACAAAAAGTTGGAATTTAACAGAAAAAATTATGTTTAAAAAAATATTTTTATAAAAAGCTAAGTGTACATGCGGCATTAGGCTTACTACAAAATTTACGGATTTCGCAACATTTGGATTTATTCGTGAAATTTATCTAAGCACAAATGTTTTATAAAAGAAAAAAATAAACATAACGAAATTTTATGAACAATGGTTTCTTAGTTAAATTTAAGGCTTAGTCCGAAGCCAAAAACTTAAAGTTTATATAAAAAGTTTGGAATATTTAGATTCGACTAGTTAGAAAAGTTTCAAATAACTAAAAATTTAATCTTCACAATTTAAGGATTTACGGAATTTATATTTTTTCGTAAAATTTATTGAAACACAAAAGTTTTAAAATAAAATAACGTTTAGAAAAAAGTTAGCTTACAACAAAATTTTCTTTATGCAACTTTAGAGTTTTTTAGAGAAAATTTCTGTTTTACAACACGGTTTCACCGTGAAAAATTCTGTCAGTATCCATATTGAATTAAAAAAAAAAATAATAATTTTTCAATTGGCAATGATTCTGGAAGCATTTAAGTTTTCACATAGGGCTTAGGTTTCATAAAAAATTTATTCCGTATCCTTAAAAAAGGTCTGAAAAAATTAAAGAATCGTTAATTGCAAAAAATTATTTTTGCACACAAAATAGATTAAAAATTAGAATTTTATAATTTTACAAATTTAATACATGCATATATATGTACATACATATATACATCTGTATTTAAAAAAAATTATTTAAACAATTTTTTTTTTAATTTGTTTTATATGCGGTATTAAAAACTCAACTTAGAATTAATGCTTTTTAGTTAAGTTTTGGAAATTTTAATAATCTGCATTGCAATAATATTTTCCAAAAGTTTTACTATTAAAATATTAGTCTTTAATTTCGAGTTTCATACCCTACACACCATCTATGCATTTATCATCTGCATCATCATCATCCATCCTCATCACCTTTGTTATTGTATGCATGTTTTTATGTAAAGTTCACAAATTTCACAGCGTCGCTGTTCGCTACGCTTCGATGCAATCGCAATCACAGCAACTGTGTTTAAAATATTTATGTATGTGTATTTAATTTTTCCCGGTTTTTTTTTTTTTGTTGTTGATTATTTTCATTATTTTCCGGTGACACTTGCACGTTATTTTGCTGTCATTATTTGTATGAGAGTACGTACATACATAACTATGTTCAGGTACTCAACCAACTATATATTTGGCAGTGCGGAAAAAAGTAGTAGATAAAAGGTAACCAAAAAAAAAGAGCGCTTTCAGGCAGTCAAAAAAGAAAATCAAAATCCATTTCACGCACAATGGCAGTGCCAGGAGAACTATAATGACCGCTCCCTTAGCACACACCACTCTCGCGAGACGTCATGCCGCGCTAATATAAATGCTTTCATAGAATTTGAGCGCCAAAGTACGAATCTTACCGCATTGTCGTTTTGTGGCATTGTTAGTTGAATGGAAAATAGTGAAGAAAAAAATGGGGGAAATATAGAAAAAGGAAGAGACAAAAGAAAGGGTAGGAGAGGGGAAGAAGGAAAAGGGAAAAAGGGTAGAGATATTGCATTAAAAAATAAAATAAAAAAATTGTGCGGTTTTAGAAAAATGAGAACCTAATTTCATGGGATCCAAAAATTCCCCAAATAGGCTCAAAGGCTGGTACATCCTATTTTGAAAATCAACAGCCAACACTTTAGTACTTTAATGCTATAATATTATTTTAGCATTACGGGATTGTTAAATCCCTTTTGGCCGTAAGCTCGAAAGAGCTAACAAAAATATCAACTATGTGCTTT